AGCGCACCCCCGACGATGACTGTGACGACGACGAGTGACGAGGAACGCGCTAACCGCGACGAATGGCTTTCGAGCCGGTGCATGCCGAACGGGGGGGAGGCCGGTACCAGAAATCGGTAGATTGTACGTATGGAGAAGCTGGACCGAGCGCCGATGGGGAGTCCGATCCCAAAGTGCCAAGATCGTTTGCGAACCGCGAACTCGTCGCAGCCGCCGATCGCGTTTCACGCGGGGAACCTTTTTGCGGGCTGCGGAATATTGAGAATCTTCTCAACTCACTTTCTTGATGTAGCTTAGCGAGATTGAAAGCGGCGACCGCTGCGAACTGTATTTAATCAAATGTAAAGAAAACGTAAAAAGTCCAACATTGACCGTTTACATTGCCGGCGCTGAATTACTGGCGTCGTTTCTTCTTTCTTCCACCTGCATTAATGCCATTAATATCCACGCTTTTATCTCACTGCCCGCAACGTCAGGCCCCCGTATCTATCCCCGTGAGCTCATCAACTATCTCTCCGTACGGTCTTTTTTAATATATCGCCGATCCCGATCTTGTCAACAACTGTGGCCTCCTTTTTTCACCGAATCTCGGGGGGCTTGTTTCACATTCTAAACAAGTCGTATCTATCTATCCATCTACCACGCAACATCCGTCTGTCGCGCGCTCGACTGCATTTCTACGTCACTAACGCGCATTCCACGATGCACCTCCTCTCCGTTTCTCCGTCTCCTCGCTCTCTTGCCCGACCGCGGCGCCCACCGTCGACGCTCGCGATGATCGCCCGCCGCCTCTTTCTCCTCTCCCTCTCCCGTCGTTTCATTCTACCCCGTCTATTTCCGAACCCGTTGAAAAGACACGGAGACGGCGACTTTCGCGGCCGTGAAACGCTCGTCCTGATCGATGTTACCGCCAGGAAAAAAGAATTCGCCGCATCCATCTCTATATAATTTCCCTAACGCGGATCATTTAATTAATGGCCAATAAGAGGGAACGTCGCATTGAGGCACGGGGAACGTCAGTGAAAATGATTTGCTTTGTACGGGGCGTGACATCTTCTAGCAAATCCGCCAGCATTTACGAGCTAAGCTTTGCACGAAACTTCTCTCTGGCCGTGACTTCTGCACCCCGCACGAATGAACATCCATACATGCTGGCCGTCGTCCCGAGGAGACCCCGACGATCGAGATGACGATCGGCCGACGACATTCGACGCGTCTGTCCAGGAAGACGCGCGGGTAAAGAGAGAGAAGAAACGGCGACACACAGGCGGACGGAAGAAGCTCGGAGGCGACGAGGAAACCGCAAAGAACGATAATGACGAGACGAGAGGACGCAGAAAGCGAGAGGCACAAAAGAGAGGACGCCGTGGAAGAGAAACTGGCCCGAGGTAATTGCCGGGGCGTCTCTTCGCACCTCATCATCATCATCAACAGCCGCGTCGTCCTCGTCGTCGTCGTCGTAGCCGTCGAGGGCCCCCGGGGACCACCCGTTAGAGTCACCGACGCCGATTCCGTCGGTTTTCGTTTGCATCGGCAGACGGAGCGCGCCGTCCTCGCCAGAGGAGCTTCGTCGAAACGATGACAAGCCTGAGCGAAGGCGTTTCACGACGGTCGGACAACGCGGATAATGATCGAACCCTCGATACTTGGACGAGATACTTCATTATGTCGGATGTCGCGATAGATTAGGCGGATCGCTATTAACTCTTTCTAAACGCAAGTCACGATAATGAGAAACTAAAGCGAACGTGATAAAAAGAATGCGACACTCAAGCTCCAACTGAACGTTACGTTCTCAAAATAATTGCACTCAATCGCGAGAACAATTATTCGCCCTGAACAAAAATGCGATCGTACCGCAGAGATTTCTGTTCTCGACAACAGAAACGAGCGGCATATCGTGCCACGTGCAGCGCGGCTCTTGAAGAATTAAAGCGAGGACTTTCGCCCGAATCGAACTCGAGCTGTGCGCTCTCCGAGGGAAAAAAAAGAAGCCTGTCATCCCTCGAGGGGATCCACGACCGCCGTGCCGCTTCTCGCGGCAACAAGGGGGGGAGAGATCGATTAAACGGGACCGGGATAAGCATCGGAAACGATGCCAGATAGTTGTCCGTTGTCGCCTCTGAGGATCATAGATCTTACCCTACGTCGAGGTCCGAAATTCCAGCCGCCGCGCCGCCGCCGCCGCCGTCGCCGCGGCAGCGCAGAGGGGACGACGAAACTGAACCTGCTCGACGGCGCGGCGGCGGCACGGGACGCGCCGCGCCGCGACGCCCGTGGAATGCGAACGACGCTGACCTGGACCACACATGACGCCGCGGTCGGCTCTAAACGACTATCGTGAAATACGATAATGCCCGTCGTTCTCGTGCGCTGAACACGGAATCTGAACTTGGACACGGAAGACGGCTCGTCGAGAGATCGGGACCACGGCTGGCAGACGCGGCGTTCCCCTTATGACCGCCGCGGCTGCCGCGAGCGCGCAACTACCTTTCGGTAGTTGCACGCCGTGTTCTAACAATGGCGAGCCTATTTGAGGAATATCGCGTTCCTGGTATACACTTGCTACCTCGCTCGCCGTGTCGCCTGCCACCGAGTACGAATATACTCTAAGCCGCAGTTGTCCTACATACACCCAACCCTTGCGTATCACTTGTATGCGTAACGTAATGAGAAGACTAAAATTGTATTGATTCTTCAATGCGATAAATAAACATAAGAATCATTTGACGCCAGCAGATGAATCAGCATGATTAAGCAAGGCGGTTGATCGACCATGACTGGCTGTGTGTTTTTTAACACAGAAAGTTTATTACGAAAAACATTACCTCAGCCAGGGTTTGAACCTGGACCTCCCTTCTCTCTGGGCGGGCGTCTCAACCAATTCGATCACCGAGGCATATGATAATATTTGTCGCAATAACAGTATAGATGTTGTCTACGCGTATGTTATCGACTTTTGTCAACTGCGCACCGATACGGATTGTCGGTTGAACACAGCAATATCGAAACACCATTTTTAAGTATTGTCCCCGTTCCCTTTACCCTCCCCCCGCTTAGACACCATTCGGTCTAGGTGTATAAATAACATAAGAATAATATAAATATACAGAGTGTTTCAGGGTAAAGTGTCCTAACTTAAAATATGAACTTAGGACCTCAAAACAAGAAAAAACTTTCCTCTGGAGACATGTCCGTAAACGCTTTGTTTAAGAGATATTGACATCTAAACATTTTTTCATTATAAAATTTTATGAAATTGTTATCGGGTTATAATAAATAATTTAATAGTGTGCTTCAAATACTTTATTATTAAAAAATATGAAAATTTTTACTTAATTATAAATTTTGTTCAAAGTGACGGCCTTGAACATTGAGACAGGCTTGACATCTGTCTTTGACGGTAGCAGTGGCAGAGCGGCACTGAATAGCTGTAATTGTTTCACATGCGTGAATAATTTTT